TGTAGAGATGGTCACTGCACTTACAGGTGTGATGGTAATGATTCCATCCAGGAGATGACCTCCCAGTGCTACAGACATGTGTGTTGGGGATAAGATGCCCTGTGTACATGTGCTCTGACTCTTGTCAGGGCAACTACTGTAATGGCAGCAAAAAAAAGGTAATTAGTCCTTCTCTTTGGATAAGTCTAAGATTTAAAAACAGAAACCATACCAAGAAATTTAGGTAAAATATTACATGAAAATAAAAGGAAATGTTGGGATTACTGTGTTTGGAACACATACCATTTCTCTATTTCACCTCTATTTGGTGTTAGTTGAGCTTTTTTCTTCCTTATTACCTGACTGTATATTCTGATGTCCACAAAAATTGGCTTAAAAGCTTTGTTCTACTTATAGTTGAAGACATCTTGGATACTATTTGTTTGTTGCCAGTGGGTGCAAGCATGCACTTGGCAGCTGAGCGATATTGAAGAGTGCACACAGGTTTTCTTTTTTTGTTGTTGTTATTCTGTTCTTTTTTTTTTTTTTTTTGCTCAATTCAGTCTGTAAAATATTTCTGTGATCCATGGATTTTTTTTTTAGAGGGGAAGGGGTTTATTTGGCTTATGATAGATTTCTGTCCAATTTAGGGTGGCTGCTGTATATACTAGCTACCTTCCTCTTCCCAACACACCTCTACTCCCACCAAAAGACTAGAGTAAGCTAATACTTGCTCTCCTCCTAATAGCTAGTGACATCACAGCCTCCTCCAGTCCCTAGCCACTACCTCACTCAACCCCACCCCAGCTCCTAGAAGAAGCACTCCCCGTCCTGGCTATATTGCTTTTGTCTCTCCTTTGTTCAGAGGTAGCCTGGCAGATTGTCCCTACAATAAAGGCTTGTTGTGGCGTGGTCTGGTCTTGATTGTTGGCTTTTTTACCTGACAGCTAACAGTTCATAGAGGTTTCAGTCCATAATCAGCTGGCTCCAAGGCAGGGATGGCAAACAGGCCTTGCAGAAGAGAAACAACATGGCACCCACATGGCAGTAAAGGCAACAAGAGAGCGATGTTTTAAATCTTTTCACGCCTGCAGGCCCCAATGTGTGATTGTTGAGTCAAGCTGCAGAATGTTAGCTGCAGGCATCGAAACAGTTAATGAAAAGTCCAAATTTTTGTAGCCAGAATACTTACCTTTACATGTTCAATGAGACTCTCCTTGATCAATGAACAATATCGAAAGCAACCACTTAGAAGGAACTATCAAGAAGCAGTGTTTTGGTTTGGATGTTAAATAACCCCCAGTGACTCACTGCTGAAGGTCTGTCTTCAGCTTATGGCAGTAATGTAGACAGCTAAGTTAATTAGATATCTTTCAGGCAGTTAGACAGGGCCAGCCCTGGAGGAGTCAATACAAAAGACAATGGAGACATATTCACTGAAGGTCAGTATTATAAAAAAGGAAAAAGTGCTACACTTACATACTTCCCCTAGAGATCAATGGCAGTGGTTGATATTCTAAATAGGTATCTGCCGCAGACCAGCTGCAGTCGATGTTGATGCAGGGTAGGAAGGGGAGATGTCCTGGGCTGGCGATGAGAAAAGAAACTCCTCAAGCAATGTTCAGGTTCCCTCTGAGAAGTCTCAGGGTCTGATTTATTTTTATATCTTTAAGCAATAGCTAGGAGGCATTGGGCAGAACATGTTTACATTTTAGGTTGCCTTAGCAATTTCTACTGAAGTAAAGGTTATTTTTTGCTAAACAGAGTATATTTTTTCTAAGCTGATTCATTTCATTGAACATCATGAATACATTTAAAAAATTACAATTGTCCCCTTATTTACCCACACCTAAGCAGAACAGAAGGTAACTTAATCAAAATCTCTATATCAGCGGGGGTACAAGCAAGATTTAATCAATTAAATGTCAAACTTGTGGTCGCCAGCTGGCCCTTGAGAAACTGCACAATGGTTAATATAGTTTTCTATTAGCTCTCTATTTTTCTATACCTCTATTCATCTTAACTAAATGTCATTTGGGTTCATAGTCCATGAACAAGAGATATTTACAGCACTTTGAGAAATATTGAGTAACTTACCTCCTTAATGCATTTACCTGTCTTAACTTTCTTTCTTTTCCCCATTTTCCACTATTTCTTACATCTAAAGTCTGTCCTTTCAATCTCTTCATAAGACCCCTTTAGTAAAAAGAATGTCAGCAATAAGAGGGGGAGTCATAGTAGTGGGAAAACAGAGCGGGTTTTAGGAGAGGTTTCTTTAGGAGTGGATGTGGCAATAGAACTAAGAGAAACAGGAATTTGGGGCTTATGAGGCAGATCAGATTTCAATACATCATTGCCAATTTGCCTCATGGAGAGTTTGTTGTTAGTCACAAACACAATGACTCCTGTGACCAGAGTAACAATTGTAAACATTATGGCAAGAAAAAATAAAACATGAGGGTGCGATGTGTTCCACCCTCCTTTTCCCCAGCTGGAACTTCGTCAAGCAGCATTGGAGGTCGGGTGGGCTTCGCCAGGTATCAATCAACTTGAGTGGGGACCAAAACCTCCCTAGCCCATTCCTCCGGGGAAATCTTTGTTCATTCCATGCTGCTCCACGTACGCTTGCTCCTTGACTAGATTCCCCATTTGATGCTCATTTAGTCAATATCACCTAAGTGACTATACTTGCTGTAATCTTATTGGTTGATAAAGAGCTTTGTCCCACCTCATACTCACCTCACCTTGTGGCTTTGCTCAATGAAACACATTTGAAAAGTGGGGTGAGCAGGCCACCCCCTTTCCTGTTCCCCTTCTGTCTCAGAGAGAAGCTATCTTTCTCTCGGTAAATTCTTCCTACCTTTAACCTCCTTTGTTTCTAGAATTCATTCTTTGATTTTAGAAAACACAAACTTGGCATTTTGGCTGTCCAGCAGGTTGGGAGTTATATTTCCCTTGTTTAGAGTATTTTGCTTATTTGTATTACTTGGTGTCGTATATCAGCACTATGAGTGGATACAGAACCTTCAGGAAGTGAGGGCTAGTCAGAGGAAGTTACTTCACTGTGGGCATACACTTGAAGGGGATATTGAAGGAAAGGGAGAGAAGGGAAGGGAAAGGAAGGGAGGGAGGAGAGGAGAGAGAGACAGAGAGAGAGATTGAGATTCTTCCTCTCTGCTTCCAAGCTGCCAAGAGGCAAACCATGTTCCTCTGTCACATGCTTCCTGCTGATGTTCTCTCTCTCTCTTTTTTTTTTTTTGGTACCAGGGATCAAACTTGGGACCTTGTGCTTGCGAGGCAGGCAGTGGAACCACTGAGCTAAATCCCCGCCCATGATGTTCTCTCTTGTCAGACCCAAATAGATTGAAGTGAACAATCAAGAACCAAAATCTCTGAAATCATGAGCCAAAGCAATCTTTTCCTCTTTCAAGTTGAGTTTTTCAGGTATTTCAACACAGTGATGGAAAGCTGAAGTTATTGAAGATATTCTTAGCTATAGGGTTTTTTTTGTACCAGGGATCGAACTCAGGACCTTACACTTGTGAGGCAGGTGGCAGAACCACTGTCTTAGCTATAGTTTTGATCTGGACTGTCTGTGAAAGTCTCATGCATTGAAGGCTTGATCTCCAATGCAGCATTGCTCAGAGTGTGTTTTGGTGAACTGATTGGATCAAGTGGAATCTGAACTCATTAATGTTCAGATGTTTTCATAATTGGAAGGGCTACTGGTAGGGGATGAAAACTTAGGAGGTGAGACCTAGTTGAAGGGCATGGTCCTTGGGGACATCCCCTTGGGACTAGATCTCTGCCCTCATCTTCCTTCCTTGCTGCCATGATGTAAACAGTCTCCTCTTCCACATGCTCCACCTGCCATAATGTTCTGCCTCAATTCAAGTCCAAGTAATGGAGTCCGTGGATCACAGACTAAAACTTCTGAAACCATGAGCCAAAAAAACCCTTTCCTCCTTTAACTTATTTTCCTCAGTTATTTTGTCACAGTGATGGGAAGCTGACTAACACAGTGCTCACCATAGTGAAAAATACAAAAATTATGTTTATGTAACATTGACAAGAAAACTGCAAAAGCCCTTTTGGGAAATATATTGTTAAACAATGAGAAAGGGCAGAATATCTATATCTATCTATACCTATCTATATCCATACATTTGAAGAATGACAGAAGCTTAAAATTATGTTAATTGTCTCATTTTATCTAAGTTAAATCTACTCTTTATATTTTACACATATCTTGAGGAGTATCATACATTTATCCAGAAATTACAATGTTTTTATTCTCTTTCTTCTGTTTCAAGGACGCCTCACATCTCTTCCTTAGCCTACCTGTCATGGGCCTATGTGAGGTCTTTCTTGACCCTGATCAACAAAGTGAAACTCACAGCCAATTGTAGTGCTCAGGTTGGTATTTGAAAAGCATCGAAAATATTTTAGCTCACAGGTATGAATAAGCGTACTTTTCATCCAAGCGACTGTTACAGTATTTTGTGACCCTGGGGTGTTCTTGCTGGGTTTTTAAGGATCACTGCCACAGGGTCGGAAATCACATTCAGAGACACACCTGAAAGCTAAGTGTCAGGTAAAAGGGCCAAAGACCAAGACCAGACCAGGCCACAACAAGCCTTTATTAGGGGAATAGATCTGCCAGGCTGTCTCTGAACAAAGGAGAGACAAAAGCAATATGGCTGGGGCAGGGAGAGTCTTTTATAGAGACTGGGGTGGGGTTTGTAGGGGCTGAGGTGGGGTTGAGTGAGGTAGTGACTAGGGAATGGAGGAGCCGGTGATGTCACTAGGTGGTAGGAGGTGAGCGAGTATTATTAGGTTACTGTCTAGGTGGGAACAGGGGCATGCTGGGAAGAAGGGTTTGTTCTTTGGTGGGAGCAACCATCTTGGCATGATGTCACACAGGGGAGGGGGCAAGTCACCATAGGAAGAGGGCAGCTACTATACTTAATAGCTGCTGAGGTGGTGGGAGACCTATCACTAAGGACTTCCCAGGAGAACAGGGAGAGGTGAGGAGAGGGTCAGGTGAAGACCCAAGAGGGAGTGGACTGAGGGAAGCTGCCTATACTAGGGGTCAGGTCGCATCCTGAATGAAAGGGCAAGAGTCTCCCGATGCTTTGCAGTGTCTTCAAGTCAGTCACGGGAGGGCAGGAAGGGGCCTTGTGGCAGGGACGAGTCTATCACACTGATGCAATCTGCTGCGTGGGAAAGCGCTAACAGCCTTTTGGGGCGATGTTGAGGCATAGAGTAATGTAAACATTTGAAATTTACAGTAAAGTGTGCTTACTTATGGCCTGAAGAGCATCTGAAACAACAAGTTCTCTAGAGCACAAGTGTGTGTCTCCGGAAAGAGTGAGACACACTTCTTCCTCCGCCTCGGGATATCCTTAACAGCCGTTCCGCCCGCCGAGTACAGGTCAGCGGAAGCTCATCCGCGCTGTGCAGGCTGGACTTCATTACCCAGAAGGCAGCGGGACGGCAGTGGGCTTTGCCAATGCCGGCACCGGAAGGGCGGGACCGATGGCCTGTGCGACAGAAAGGACTTCCGGTGTCGGTGGAGTGAGGAGGCTACGTTTCCTGGGTTCTTGGTCCCTAAGCCGAGCCCGCTGGCAAAGCCGGAAGGTGGTGACCGTGGGGCAGCTCCGCGCCGCGTGGACGGGGAGGCGCCGGCCTCGGGATGGCGGCGCGGGCGGAGGCGGCGCGGGTGAGTGGACGGCGCCCGTGCCCTCGCGAGGCCGTGTCTGCCGGGTGGGCAGGGTGGGTCGCGCCGGGGCGGATGGCGGCTTCCGGACCCTCCTGACCCGCACGCGGCCCGAACGCGTCCGTGTGGTTCCCGTTCTGCCCTGCGGGGACGCGGCTTTCAGAAAGGGTCCCGGCTGCCGCCGCCTGCTGATCCCTTGGCCCGGGAAACTAGAGGGCCCGGGCCGACGCGTGTCTCCCCGGAGCGCCGCTCCGCTTGCGGCTGCTGCCCGGCGAAGTCTGTCTCTGCACAGCTCGGGGCTGCGGTCCGGGCTGGGAGCTGCCGCTGTGCAGAGCAGTGAAAGTAGCAGTAGGCGGTGGAATTTATCGCCCGGTTTAGGATGAGTGGAGTGGAGCTGGGTTGCACCAGACCAAAGTGTGTGTTTCCAGTGCACACGAGGGATGGTGTCCAGGCCTTTGCACAGAAACCTGTGAGGCCCGGATTACTGTCTCGCAGTTACCATGATGGCTCAATATGGCCTAGAATACGGCCAGACCCGTGTTACCTGTTAGTTTCTTATCCCTCTCTCACTTTGTTTCAGAAGCCTTCCAATTTCTGTCTGGTAAAGAGGCTTTACTGTTGGTCCATCCAAAGTTGACCTAAGTATCTTTGGTCTCTGCACTGTTTCTTGTGTTCAGAACCGTTAGGGCCCTCCGAAATGGACTCGCTCATTTATTTGGTTGGTTATATAGTGTCTATTTCCAGCCCTTGCATATGAACTCGTGTTGCTACTCTGTCCCAAGACCTAGAACAGCCTACACCGATTGCTCTCAGTAATGAGTAGGTACCCCCTTCAAGGGCTCCCACCACATGTAGAATAAACCCCACCCCCAGCCTCCCAACATGGCCCACAGGCTCTACCACTTGATCTGCTTTCTGTTTTTCCTGGTACTGGGGACTGCACCCAGGGACACTGTACCACTTATGTACATCCTCTGCCTTAGCATAGCATATTGCTAAGTTACCTAAGCTGGCTTTAAACATGAAATCCTCCTGCCTCAGCCTCCTGAATAGCTGAGATTACTGGCATGTGACACCATGCCCAGCCAGTTCCTTTTGATTTGCTCTTTTAGTCACCTCTGCTTCCTCTTCCTCTGTGCCCTGGCCCACCGTGTCAGCCAAAGGGTTCTGAACTTGCCAAGGTCTCTCTGCCTTTGTGCAGCCTTTGTCCTTGCACTTCTTTTGCTGTGGGACATTGTCCTCGATCTCCTGCTCCACTCAGCCTTTCTGTGCATCAGGCCTGCTGGTTCTAGCTGAAGCATATCCCGACCCCGGCAACTTTATGACGTCTTTTTTTTTTGGTACCCGGGATCGAACTTGGGTCCTTGCGCTTGGGAGGCAGGCGGTGGAACTACTAAGCTAAATCCCCAGCCCTTTATGATGTCTTTTACCAGATGTGTAAATCCTGCATGTGTTTTGTTTTGTTTTGTTTTGTTTGTGGTGCTGGGAATTGGACCCATGGCTCTAGCGCTAATCTACATCCTTAGCCCTTTCTAAATTTTGAGACAAGTTCTGCTGTGCCTAAGTGTGGGATCCTCCTGCCTTAGCCTCCAAAGGTGCTTCTTACTAAATACAGTGGTACCTTGGATCACACACTTAGATCTTTCCACGATTCTGGAATGACTTCTGTGACCAGAATCATGGAAAGAATTAAGCTTGTGAACTGAGGCACCATTGTATGAGACTGTGGTTGACTTCTAAAGCCAAGCCATGGTTTACTGACCCTAACATGAGAATGATGATGGCATTTACTTGTGGTGTTTCTGGAAGACTAATGAAAGTTGCAGAGCACGTGACACACTTAATTACATGTTGTAGGTACTCCACTCATTGCCTTGGGAATATTTTCTCTTTAGTTCTCAGAACTACACAGTAATGTAGGAATGGTTATGATATTGATTTGGAAATTGAGACTTAGAGAAATAGTTTGACATTTTCATGGTCAAGCAACTGGCAAATATGAGATGTAAGAGGACTGATTCTGGCCTCAGTGCTGGGGCCCCTTATTTGCATTACCATGGCATGCACAGCCTTCAGCCTGAGGCTGGTACACTGTGAACACCAGAAGTTCAGCTGCTGCTGCTATCATGGTGAGAATTAGCAAAGTTGTTTCCCTTTCTTTCTTTGTATCTCAGAGCACTCAAGCTGTGCCTGCCACAGTCTTCACCGATTGCCATTTTGTGTGTTCTCTTTAGTGGCTTTCCCATGGGAAGCTTTTCTCCTGCCCATAGTTGCCTTATGTCTAAAGACCACATCTACCTCCCCATTGAACCCAACACAGAACTCGGCCCTCAGGAGCCCTCAGTGATTCAGGCCTCTGGACCTTCACCAGAGCCTGAATGACAGGCCCTGATCCTATCCAGACACACAAGGTCCATGGCAGTGCTTCTGTTTGACTTTCTAGGTCTTGGTGACCTTCAGTGACGTGGCTGTTACCTTCACCCCGGAGGAGTGGAGACAGCTGGACTTGGCCCAGAGAACTCTGTATCAGGAGGTGATGCTGGAGACCTGTGCAATTCTGGTCTCACTAGGTAACCACTCACCTCTCACCCCTGGAGACCCCGCCTCCTTGATTCATGGGTGGGCAAGAAGGTCTCAAGAGCTCTCTTGCTTCCTCCCCTCAGCTCTTGTGGCTTTCTGGTCCCACCTCCTGCTGCCTGGTCTCCCTGTGTCTGCATCAGATACATGAAGTTTAAACACAAACCCCCACTCTCCTGCCCAGGACACTGTGGAGGAGTCAGCTGTCCTCACTGCCTGCTCATGGCTGTGGGTTATGAGGTGTTTTAAGAGAAGGTGTAAGTCAGCCCTCTGGGCATCACCACACATATCTTCCTAGCAACACCATCTTGGTGCAAAGGCCACGGACACTTTCATAATCACTGCTTGTTTCCTGAGGCTGGACCTCAGCCCTCTACCAGTTGAGGAGGTTAATGTCCTCAAAACAGCATGTGTGGGGTTGGGGATTTAGCTCAGCGGTTCTGCCATCTGCCTTGCAAGCACAAGGTCCTGAGTTCGATCCCCAGTACCAAGAAAACGCCCCCAAAAAACAGCATGTGTGGAGACAGCTGATGCTTCTACCTTCGTGTCCAGCCTTCTGTTTAATGTCATGGAAACATCTCAGATTGGTGCTGAGTCTTCTCTCATCCACCCAGCTGTGGTTAATTTCTCCTCTTGACACAGAAGATGGCATCCAGCTCTCAGCCCTGAGCAGGCTACCCATGATCACTGGGACTGAATGACATTTTTATTTCATTGTTGGGTTCTGTTGTTGACTTTTCATTTACCAGAGTGAAACAGAGTTCCCTTTCAGAATAAAATATTTCAGAAAAGTGAGTCAGGTTAAAGAGAAGCCATTAGAAATATTGGCATGCTGCATGCTACACATATCCATCACTCTGAGTTCAGATAAGATGTCAATCCTTAGATGATAATTCCAGTGAATATCAGAGAGGAAACAGGAGAATTTAAAGAATAAATATCCAGGGGATCATAACCCATCAGGGTGCTTCAGGGAAGGCATATCAGGAAATGACAGTGGGGCTGAGATGTGAATGCTGAGTAGGACGTGGCCAAGTGAGAGGAAGTGGAGAAGTGTGCCAGGTGGGGAAAGCCCTGATGTGACAGGGAACCCAGGTCCTGGTGGACTTGAAGGACCAACAGCTTGACTTTTTCCAAATCCCAAAGCCCAGAGCCAGGCATGTAGCTCCCTTTGGAGAACATTGCTGAGACGTGTTGGTGAGTTGTAAACGAGAGCCTGACAGTTATTTCTGTAAGTCTTGTGTTTCCAGATAGGGCTCTCCTATTTTTAATTGATGGAGATCAAACTTGGAAGGACATTTGCTTCTCCCTAAGGAGATACCTCAAAGTGTGGCTGGCTCAGGCTTCCTGTATACAGCAGCCCTGTGGTGTCATCAAAGACTTTGAGTTTTCTGTTTCTCTCTTGGCAGAGCCACCACTGTTGTCTGCAGGTCCATTCCCTCAGGGACAACAGGCCCCTGGGTCCAGCCTTCTCTCCCACATTGGAATAAAGGTTCCTCTTTACCATGAAAATACGGCTGAGGTGACCTGCCTGTCTCATGCTACTGATGGCCAGGGATGCCATTCACCAATTTATTTCAAGCAGAGAGTTTTCTCTGGGCACCAGAATTTTTCAAAAGTGTTGATGCCCAAACCTCATCCCATGAAAGTTTGTTAAATTGCTTAGAGTTTGGAATGCAGCTTTTTCAGGAGACTGAAGCACAGGTATTTGAGAATCAGTGACTTTGATGAATCCAAAGACACATCTGGATGGAGTCCTCACCCTTGCTGTGTCCCCTGGCTGTTTGTGAAAGTGGTGTGCAGATGAATGGTGTTGGGTTTCAGAGATGGAGGTCAAGGCCAGTGGGGTTGTGTAGATAGCACTGCCCTCTTCAGCAGCTGAATTTCCAGGTTTAGTCATGTCGAGCTAGGATTTCAACATTTGTATTTTGGAGGGACACAGTTCAGTCACAGAAGTGCCCTTGGGTTTCAGGTCTCAGAGGAATGTTTTGCTTTCTCGTGGTCTGGCTCCTCTCATGATGTCCCAGACAAGGTGGAGACTTCATTCTTCTCATCCAGTTACCCGTTTCCTGCTTCCTTTGCCATCAACAGGGCACCAGGTTCCTAAACCAGAGTTGATCTACCTGCCAGAACACGGACAGGAGCTGTGGACAGTGAAGAAAGGCCTCTTGCCTAGCACCTATGCAGGTAGGCAACCACAACCTTGTCAGGTGATGTCATGGCATCTTCAGCCTGACAGGACCATGGTCCCTGGACTACTGTGTGGTACTTATTTTCATGACCTCATGACCTCAAACAACCTCTGGTTGTTTCTTGCTGCAGGCCAAACCTGAAGATGGCCCTTCATCTCTTCTCTGCTCCTTTTCTCCTCCCTGCTCCTTTTCTCCCCCATAGATTAGAGAGTCAAACAGTCTGTTTGACTCCTATTGTAGACCCTGGATGGCACAGCCCCAGGAGACAGAGACATTGTGTATCCTCCCCTGTTCCCCTCCTGTGCATGCCCAATCAAGAAACAATTGTGCTATGTCCTGCCTTGGCCATGTAGGCCCTGTAGCACTATTTGCCCCACCTTCTCTTCCTGTTTGCCTTCCACTACAAATAAAGAGCTGGTGGTGCTCCAGGTGGCCATTAGCTCCTGACAAGCTATGGTTCCACCTGGTCCCAGCTTTCAAGCATAATCTTGGTATGTATCCTTCTTTCTTGGTTTCTTCATCTTTTCTTCATCTCTCACTGCTCTCCTTGGCTTCGGACCCTATGCTGTGTGGGTTGCTGGCAATTTCTAACCCACCTCAAGGTCCGGTGTGCTTCAGCAGGTAAGCTCTGAACCACAAAGTTACTCTGAGATCCAGTGCCTTCACCTGTGATGAGGCAGCTTTCGATTGCTCTGCACATGATCCAGTAGCTGAAGGCAACCGATAGAGGAGCAGGACATGCACATATGTCCCTTGTATGTATTCTGGACAAGAAATAGGCATTTGGCCACACCTGCATCCTTATGACTTAGAAATGTGGTTTAGCTCTGTGGCCAAGGAGAACAGTAAAAGCATTGGTTTACATCACGCAGGCTGCTATACTCAAAAAATCAGAGTGGAAGTAACTCTGTCATTGAGTTGTTTGTGGATATAATGAGATCCTGTGAGTTACTACTTAAGTCAGTGGCTGACCCATAGTATCAACAGAAGTCACCTATTAGTATTATGTTTAATAGTATTAGTCATGAGTAAAAGTAATGACATACTTTTCCTTCTGGACTCGAAGAAAAAGGTACCTAGCCTCATTAAACAAAGTCAATACACAGAAATCAGTCATGTTCTTCCACTTCAATAATGAACCCAGTGAGAAAAATCAGGAAAACAATTACATTCATAGTAACTTCAAAAAAATTAAATGCCTAGGAATCAGCCTAACCAATGTGGTAAAATACCTCTATAATGAACATTATAGAACCCTAAAGAATGAAATGGAAGAGGACAGTAGAAAATGGAAAGACATCCTTTGTTCCTGGATAGGCAGAATTAATATTGTTAGAGGTTATACAGTTACACTTTTATTCTTGAACTCTTTTTAACCATTCATCTCTGTTGTATACTTGTGGCCTCCCTTTTTAACCCCCATGGGAGGGATCTTACCTCTAACCTTGACCAGTCTCTCGCGCAGCTACATTAGACTTTCTGTGTTTTCAGGGAACCTGTTTCTTAACTTCTGCATTGTCTGTACCTTCATCCTCTATACTCACCATAAAAATGTGTGTATGTTGCTTACATTTGGGGAAAAGAGGCACAAATTGCTTTTTGATATACAATAGAGGAATAGGTAGTGTACATATAAAGGCAAGATCCTTGAAGGACTTCTAACTCATGTTTGAAAGATGTATATACTTGTATATTTTTTGTCTTAAATTCTTAAATTTATTTTAAAAAAACCCCTGAGGAATAAGTGCTGTGCACAGATCTTATGGTTCAGATTAAATTTTTGGCTGAGGTGTAAACTGCAGTGTTCTCCATCTGGGTCAAACTTGAGAATACATCTGTCTCCTCAGAAGGCTTGTGTTGTGCCCTTGTCAGGAGCTCCTACACTGGTACACTAGTGAAAATCATGATTTGGTTTTGACTGGTTGTGAATGAATAGAATTGGAACCCCAAGGTACACAATACAAAGAATACATAGAATACATTTTTGTATTCTTTTCATCATCAAGTGTTCATCAGCAGGGTTCGTCTTGTATCCTGTAGCATTGTGTGCAAGGACAGAATGAATTCACTGTTCTCCCATTGATGGCCATGTGTTTTATTTACTTTGTGTGGATATTAAGAGGAATCCTGCTATAAAAGTTGTTTTCATCATATTCACTGGATGTAACACACGTTTCTTTTGTGTGTTAGTGTATACCCAGGGGAGGAGAGGGTCAGTCATGGAATGGCTTGGTCTGTGCTCAGCTGTTAAGTCAAGCTGCCACATACTGGTCCAGGGTGGTGGCCCCATTTCCTGTCCTCATTAAGCAGCTGTATGACTGCCATTGCACTGAGTCCTCCTAAAAATGGAGAATGCCCACATTACTCTTTCAGGCACAGTAGTTGGAGTCTTCAGACCACAAATGTGAAATTGGCAACAGTGAGAATGAGCAGGAGTGGGCTCAAGCAAGCATGGATGTCACATCAGGAGCTACGTGGTTCATAGCCACTTCCTCATTTAGCTCTTAGTGCAGGCTGAGAAATGGAGCACCCACAGCTCTTAGACGAGGATATTGGACTTCATAGAGAAAGGAGTCCATCCAGTAACAGCCAGCTTGGCAGAGGCAGGTCTTGAACCATGTCTTCCTTTCCCTCTAGTGCCTTGACCTCACTCTACCCACCTTGCTGCTATTGTTGCCTGAGGATGCAGCAGCAGTGATACTGGTCTTCATTTTTTGTGCCGTTTATTCTTTCTTCATTCTCTTCTACCAATTCCTTCAGTGTTTGCTTCCCCAGGCAGCTGTGCCCTTTGCTTCTAAGTCTCAGCCCCTCTCCGAGGGTAAATCTCCCCATGCTTACTCCCTCACTTTACCACAGTGCCTTTGTCCCCATCTGGCAAACACTCTGGTTTCTCAGTTATGTCCCAGTTCCATCTCATAGGACACTCCTCTGGGAAGCCTTTCATGATCGACCTATTCTCTCTGTCTCTGTCTCTGCCTCTCTTTTCCCAATCTTATTATATGCCACTTTCCCATACTTTCACGACACCAATCGACATCAGTTCTTAGACCAAATGCCCTCTGGACAATGTCATCGAAATTCTATCCTCCCTTCCTATCTGTGGACTGCAGAGATGCAGTCTCCACTCCTGATTCTCTGTTCCCTTGTCCAGCATGGTGTCTTGATTTTCCCTTTACTGGTTTCATGGCGGCAAGGACTCTTGGAGGATTAATTGGAACCTAGGATACAGAGATGTGAAGACACAGGAAGTACAGTATCAGAGGTTTTGTTCCCATCTTTATTTCTCACTGAAATGTTTGTTTTGATAATTCTGCATTGCATCACCAACAGTTTCCTCTTTGTGTATTGGATTGCCTTTCAGATGACAGAGCACAACTTCAGACCAGAATGCCAACCACCTGTTTCCCAGTTAAATCTGAGGGAATCTTGCTCCGGGGAAGGCTGACTCAGGAAGGGATTTTGAAAAGGCAAAAAAGCTGTCCTAAGGAGACCTGTCCTGTGAGCACATGTCCTGAAGATGATGGTTTGGAAACAGATGGTGGTTTGCACCCCAGGGTGTTACAGGAGCAAACCCGTCCAGATGTTCTCTGTGTACATCCAGATGACTCTCAGCGACCTGGGAAAGACACCTCAGTTCTTGCAGGGACGAACCCATACAGATGCAAGCAGTGTGGGAAAGGTTTTAGCAGGAAGTGGTATCTTGTTCGACATCAGTGGGTTCATACCGGTCTGAAGCCCTATGTGTGCAGTGCATGTGGGAAAGCCTTCAGTCAGAACTCAACCCTCATTCGTCACTACTTCATTCACACTGGGGAGAAGCCATACACATGTGTCGAGTGTGGGAAGGCCTTCAAACGCAGGGCATACCTGAAACAGCACCATCCTGTCCACACTGGGGAGAAGCCCTATGAGTGTGTGCAGTGTGGGAAGGCCTTCACCCACCGCTCTACATTTATTCGCCATAGTAGGACACACACTGGAGAAAAACCCTTTGAGTGCAAAGAATGTGAGAAAACCTTCACCAGTAAAGCACACCTGATTCAACACTATCTTGTTCACACTGGAGAGAAGCCCTACAAGTGCATGGACTGTGGGAAGGCCTTCCGGTGCAGTGCGGAACTGGTGCAGCACCAGCGGGTCCACACTGGGGAGAAGCCCTATGAGTGTGCCCAGTGCGGAAAGGCCTTCCACCGCAGCATGTACCTGGTCCAGCACTTGGTCATCCACACTGGGGAGATGCCCTACAAGTGCATTGAGTGTGGCAAGGCTTTCAAACGCCGGTCACACCTCCTGCAGCACCAGCGGGTCCACTCTTGAGGGAAACTTTGCAGTGCAGTGCATGAGGGTTGTTCATCACATGCTACTTGTCTTTTGTCTTTGCTAGTGGGGCCCACATGGAAGGAAAACCCTTGGAGTGTAAGGAATGGTGGGAAGCATCACTTTTATTTCCATATTCTTTGGTCACTTCCACTAAACTTATGAGCAGTGACATCGGAGAAGAGCCCTGTGAGTGTTGTAAATGTAAGAAAACATCCATTTCTGCTCAGTCTTAGGCATCATGGAAGGTTTCAGGTCAGAAATGAGGGGAGGCTTTGTACCAAGGCATCAACCTCAGAGAACTCAGGCTGAGGAAGACACTGAACCATCTGCTTATGACTCTCCACCAGAAGGAAGACCTTACTTCCATCCTAGAATCCCTAGTGTAGGATTTCTGCATAATTGTCGCTACGAGAAACCTTTATGACAGTGGATCACTCACATGTCCTGGAAAGCATTGTGTTGGAATCCAACTCTCTTTGGAATTTGGCCTGTGGAGTCACAGAAGGCCTCAGCCTGCCAGTCTCCACGGTTAACATGGGAAGCTGTCTCAGCATCATTTAGAAAGACATAAGAGCGAACAAAGAGTGGGAGGAAAAGGTATTCTGTTACATCTCATTCAGACTTCATTGCCAAGCCTTTCACAGTTTTCTTCAGTTTTACTTTTGGTGGGATGTCTGAGACGTTAATTTTTATGCATGACCACAGTCCTGTGTCAGGAGAGTGGTATTGTGGCAGCCCATCATTGTTCCAGACATGACACGTGAGGAAGGCAGTACTTTCTGAGAGGTGAAGGGTTGAGTGATGAGTGCTTGAACTTAGGAGAAATTTGGGTACCACTTTAAAATGTGCACTGCATAACACTGTGCAAGGGTTTGCTTTTTTTTTTTTCTTAAAGGTTTGTTTTGGAAGACTAGATGGGAAGAATGAGGCGTAATTGGCTTCTTTGGTTAGCACAAGAAGAAAGTGGGCATGCAAGCATACTAACATGCTGCAGGGAAAAGTAAAAACACCTGAGGTTAAATTTACATGGGGAAGTACTATGGAGGGTGGGAGAAAGATGAATCCTGTGGAGCTCTAATTGCTTGTGCCTGTGTCTAAATGAATAAAGCGAAGATATGCCAGACATTTGGAGCTCTATGTTGGAGGGAGCCATGACCCCCTTTGTCCCCCAGATTTTAACCTGTTTCTGTGTCTTTATTTTTCATCCTTGTCACCACTTGGTCAGGTTCAGGCTGGTTCCTACAGGGTTTTTTTTGTTTTTTGTTTTTAATAAACCCATTCATGTGATTTTAACTAGCACTCAGTTTTCAGCCTGCCCTATCTGCCCCAGTGTCTTTTGCCCCAGTTCCCACTGGTCATACCCACTGCAAATCCCTGTGATTGTCACTGTCTCATAGATCCCTCATTGCCTAGCTCTGGGTCTCCAACTAGGTCCAAGTCCTTGTTCCTCTGTCTTTAAGGCTCCTGGTCCTAACTCAGTCACCATCCTCTGAGTGATCCTTTGGTTTGCGCTTTCCTTACTCACCTGCTCAGGATAATATGTCTCGAAAATATCTTGCTTGCTGGGCTCCTCTCCATTGGAGGGGAGTTAGGACAAGTGGGCATTGGGTGGTCGTTGAGCACCAGCCATGATATGTATAGATTGGTGGGGGCCAAACTACACGCCCCAGTCATGAGACAGAGGTTGATGTAATCTGTAATCCCTTAACTCCTGAGATCCAGAGGCAAGATAGGTCTGCTGAGGACAGCACGAAGAAAGCAAGTACCCAGATATGGGGAAGGATCTTAACTTGTGCCTTTTGTGATGCTAAACCTGTTCCTCATTCTACCTTATGCTTACTGCAGTTACTGTTCCAAGAAGAGTACACTACCCCAGCCCTACACTTCTCACTGGCTAATAAAAGTGGGCCAGCCGAAGAGGTCTTGCCTTTTGCCCAGTCTAAGGCACTGATCTCCCAGTCCCCCCCGTACTTGCAGATTTGTCACTGTTCCCCCGAGGGTAACTGAGGGCCTGACCAATGCTTGGTAGACAGTGGTTGCCAGGCTGGGCATGAGCTGAAGCCTGGAAGCTCCTGCTGTACTTGGAAATCTGAACTTTTCCCAAGGTTTCATGTTCACAGGACCTGAGCTGTGTGTGGTACTGGGATTGAGAAGTGGCCCTGTTACTCTAAACACCTTGGTTACTGGATTTTATCTTGTGGGCTTCTCCTTCAAGTTGTCTTCCTTCTCCTAAGTTGTCTCCTTCAAGTATGTCTTCCCTTCCTATCTGGGCCTTGGTGAGCATCTTTCAAGTGTCACACGAATGCTACTTCTACCCTACCATCAAGATTTTTAAAAACACCAAAGAATCTGTTAGGGTAAACTGAGGCACAACTGAGCTCACTGGAGCAGGCAAGAAATGAAGTAACAAGCAAGATTTTATTTCCAGCCTGGGTGCAGGCGAGTCAGGGGTGATAAGACCCTTAACCTTGGGGGTTTGGGCAAGGGGAAATTTTATAGGAGAGTTTGGTAGGGGAGGGGTAGCACCATGAAGAGTGGGAAAGTTTTGTCTTGGAGTGAGGAAGTCTGGTGGTCTCCAGGGGTATCTGAACCTACAGGTGTTGCTGCGTGGGGCTGGCTGTTTATCTTGAACCTGGGCCTTGGCTTCCTGTTATCTTTTGCACCTTGCAGGATGTGTAACAGGATTTCCCTGGGAAGTTTTTCTCTTCTGCCTGGGCAGAATCAGTTGAGAGCTACCAGCAACAGACTTTTGACCTCCAAATGTGTCTGCACTGTAGCCCACACATACCCCACTGTCCTGATACAGGTAGGAAACAGTGGCAGCATGTGCCATGGTTCCTCAGGAAATACTTTTCCCGTGTATGTGGAGATACCTTTGTTTCCAAACCTGGAGAGAGCATAAATATACTACACAGAGCACTTGTGCTGGGACTCCTGATCCTTCCCTTGATGCACAGTCCACTCATTCCAACTGTCACTGCAGCTATAGTGTCCAAACAGGGAGTTGAAATAATGAGGAAAACATTTGTGAAATGTGGATATACTGAAAGTTATTAGTGAAGATTACATTATTATTAGTTAAAGGAGCAGCTCAGGGAAAACCTGTCTGTAGCATTCATCAAATGTCATATTCTCAGTGAAATAAACACAGAATGAAGCTGGGCACATAGCTGTGGTAGAACTTGGCAAGCTTCAAATTTTTGTGTCTGAAGTGTGGTTGTTTCCTTCTAGAAAGAATACCTACTTTGTAAATCACCCAAGAGGCTATTAGAAAGACTTCCCAGAATGGAAAAAATAAAAAAGGAAGGGGGATCTGTTACGGTTGTCCCCAAATCTAACATGTTCAATGAGCGACTAGTAGATTTTAGGCATCGTTGTCGGTGCCTGGGAGATGTTGGGAAATGCTCATGCCTCATGGAGCTCATGGTCTACTCAAGGAGAAGAGGGAACAGACAAGTACTAAGTTACATAAAATTTTATAATATGGCAGGCACAATGGAAAGAAGGAAAGGAGATGAGTGTGCTGAGAAAATGGGGAGATCATTCATAGCAGTCTTCCTAAATAAGAGAAGTCAAGCCAACATGAGGACATGAGACCCTGAGCCATGTGGGCATTTCTGAGAATAATTTTCAGGGTGCAAGACATGCCCATTACAAGGTTCAAAGGGCAGAGCTGTCCTGTTCTGTAAGCCTGATAAAAACAGGGAGAGGCAAAATGCAGACTCTTGAGAGCTGTGGAAAAGCCAGACCACGAGGTGGCACGCACTGGTGAATGTTTTCCATTTTACAGCAAGGGCATCCTGTTGTAGATATTAAAACAGTGGTGACACAGGACTAAGAACACCATTGGTGAACCACATTGTCCCCATGTAGAAAATGGACTGTGGAGGGCTAATGGAAGCAAGATGCTCTCTTGAAGACAGCACAGAAACTCCTCTGGGAGGGAGAGTGGTTCTGACTAGATATTTACTGTGGAGGTGATGGTTGTGCTCTGTGATAGTTTGAAAGAAGAGCCAAACAAATTTCATGTTGGGTTGGATAGAGAAGGGGGGTGGCACTGAATAGGATGACACTCCCACATGTGCCCAAGACATTGAAGAGCTACTGAACTGACAGGGAAACAGTCACAGGCCCTTATTGTGGTCACACCAAGAGGGAAACAAGTCTGGTTGATCTTTTTGGTCAGTGCTCTCTCTGTCCCTTGGGTTTATACAGAAAGAGTGCTGGACTGGATTCAGTAGCCCCTCACTTCCCCATGCTTCTCAGGCCTAGAAGGATCACAAAACAGTAATTTCAAAACAGCTCACCATGGGGTGCTTCTTTAGGGCTCATGGTGTGTGCTGTGCTCAGAGGGAAGCTTTGCCCCAGCAGCTCCTGGCAGACCTACCTTCTCACTGGGCATGCTCCTGTCAGACACTTCTGGGGGACAGTATGCCAGAGACTCACACATGACTTAAAAAACTGAGTAAAGTTGACTTTAAAAAGTACCACATCCTGAGTAGCTTACAGAAATTTATTTTCTTAGAATTCCAAAGCCTGGAAGTTCAGAGCAGATGTGAGTGGAGCTGCTTCTCCTGGGGCCTTTCCTGTTGGGAACAATGCTACATAATTCTAGGGAAAAATCATTTGGTTAGCCTAGTTCTCTTGCCTACAGCCAAGCTACAGAATAACTCCAGTTTGGCCTCCTGTCACAACTGAGACTTCAGTGATCCAGTGATGCTGTGATTCTCCAAGAAACATCCTGGGAGAATAAACATCTGCTCAGTTCCGCATTGTTCTTGGACTGATTAATATCTTGTTTGCCGGAGATGTACTGAACTCTCTGCAAGCCTTCCGTTACACCTTGTTTATCCCAATGTGAACTATTGAACTCTCTGCAAGTCATTTCTTACATTTGTTTCTCCCAATATACTGAATAAAAGGTGTGGTAAGCTGGGGGCTTTGTCTTTGCTGCCCAGAGCAGCACTGATCAGAACCAAAGCTCAGCTTCTTCTCGGTCTCGTTTTTCTACCTTTCCTGTAATTCGCCGTGTGCTGCCGTGGCTCGCAGGAGACCAGGACTCACTGCAGAGGTTCTGGTAACGTCCCCTTCCCCTGTCCCCTACACTTTCCCTTTGGTTTATTGATGGTGTGTTCTGGGCCTTCACATGGTCATCTCTGTGCCTCTGTGTCCTAATCTTTTCCTGAGGACACCAGGTGGATTGGCTTAGGCCCATTCATTTGAACTCAATTTACCTCTTTAAGGGGTCTGTTTCCATGTACAGCCATTTCTTGAGATGCTGGGGGTTAATACAGTGCTTTTATATGAGTTTTGAGAGGACAAAACTGAGCCACTAACAAGAGTCCAAGAATATGCTAAATCTTCCCTCCCCAACTTCAAATGAACTGGGAGATCTTTGGTAGCCCTGGAAAGTCAACCCCAGACAGCTTCAGTGGCATATGGACTAAAATAGAATTTGAGAGCAGAACTTAAGAATACCTTTGAAATGTCAGAGAGAAGGTAAGTATAGTAATACTTCAGTCCATAAACACTTCTATTTGCAGTTTGGTTTACACACAAAAGCATATGGCCAAATTTTGCTTCTGTTCTCTGCATTGGGTGACAAATACGACAATGGCCATCTTCCCCAAAGAAACACAAATGCAGCCATCTTGCCCGAAATCATAAATTCAGTTCATAAACCAAGGTATTACTGTACTTGAAACCAGAAGATTAATGTTTTGGAATTTATCATGAAATTACTTTACTTGATATATAAAATACATGACCAAGTATATTCATTTTACTCAAATGAAGATCATGGAAAAAATCTTGAAGCAAACTAAAAGTGTATCAAAAGGACAATGAGTAGACACACTGTGGTTCACATGCAGTGAGTCCTGGCAAGGGAGTTGTGTTGAAGTGGTTCTATATATGTTTGCATGGGAACATGTAGACAGATTTATATTTTAAAAAGAAAAAAATATAAGCTAATGGATGCACGCTAAATGCATGTGTTCAAAAAAGAATATTTAAACACAAAACAAGAATTCTGTTTGGCTGCTCTATGGACCCTGCATTAAGCTGGAGTTTGCTCAGCTGGTTCTACAGCCCAGATCCTCAACAGTCACATGCAGGCAGGGCTGGGCATGGGCCAGCAAGTTCTGTGTTTTGGAGTGATGTGGAAACTCATCACCCTAGTGCTTACTTGTGAGTTATTACAGGCCACATGGAGCTCAGACAACTTCCACAAGATAATGTTCCAGAAAATCACAGAAAGAAATGCACGGAGACACAGAATTTGGGTAAAATAA